GCCTGTAGTCCCAGCTACTCAGGAAGCTGAGGCAAGAGAATCACCTAAGCCCATGAGCTAGAGGTTGCTGTGAGCTGTGACACCATGGCATTCTACCAAAGGCAACAAAGTGAGACACTGTCTTTAATAAAAAAAAAGAAAGAAAGAAAAATAGTTATGAAAAGTCTGAGATAATGCTCTCCACACATTCCCAGCTAACTAGAATACTACACATGTGTGGAGAGGTATGAAAGAACCTGGTAAAAAGCATAACCCAAGGGATACTTGAAATTGGCTGCAAATTTGAATGCATCCCCAACGTATATACACATCCAATACCAGAGTGTAAATCCTAATTGGCTCAAGGTGTTTGAGTACAACTGAAACTGGCTGACTGCTAACTATGCAAGCATAGGAGTGACCCCTAGTGGTAAGTGTTTTAATATACCTATTATGAGAGTCCCAGAGGAGAGAAGAGGAAAAAAGGGAAAGAAAAAAGATTTGAAGACATAATGGCTGAAAACAACTCAAATTTTTGCCTAAAAACATTAACTGGCTGACACAGTGTTTCACACCTATAATCATAACACTCTGGGAGGCTGAGGCTGGAGGATTGCTCAAACAATCCTTTAGGAGTTCAAGACCAGCCTGAAGAAGCTGGTTGGCAGCCTGTTTCTACTAAAAATAGAAAAATTAGCTGGGCATGGTGGTATGTACCTGTACTACCAGCTACTAGGAAAGCTGAGGAAAGAGGATTGCCTGAGCTCAGGAGTTTGAGGTTTCAGTGAGCAATAGTGATGCCATTGCTCTTTACCCAGAGCAACAGAACAAGACTCTGTGTCCAGAAAACCCCCCAAAATTACCATACAGCTCCAAGAACTCAAAGTAAAATAAAGAGAACCACATTTAGATATATCATAATCAAAATGCTGTGAGAGAAAATCTTGAAAGCAGCAAATGAATTATCACATACAGGAAAACAGTGATATGATATATATGAAATAATGGAGGCCAGAAAGCATTGAAATATACTCAACATGTTAAAGGAAAAATATGAACCAAGATTTGTGTGCTCAGTGAAACTGTTCTTTTTTCTTTTCTTTTTTTTTTTGAGACAGCCTCAAGCTGTCGTCCTGGGTAGAGAGTGCTGTGGCATCACAGCTCACGTCAACCTCTAACTCCTGGGCTCATGCGAGTCTCCTGCCTCCACCTCCCAAGTAGCTGGGACTACAGGTGCCCACCACAACGCCTGGCTATTTTTTTTGGTTGCAGCCATCATTGTTGTTTGGCAGGCCCAGGCTGGATTCGAACCCCCCAACTCAAGTGTACATGGTTGACACCTTAGCCACTTGAGCCACAGGCACTGAGCCAGTGAAACTGTTCATTTAAATGAAATTGTAATAAAGGCAATCCCAGATGAACAAAAAATGGAAAGAGGAACATTTCATAATAAGAGTCAATATATTGAGAAGACAACATATTTTATTTATATATATATATATATATATCTCATGTATATACTGAGAACACATTACATATATATCTAACAACAGAATACCAAAAATATATGAAGGAAAAAGTGACAGAATTGAAAGGAAATGTAGACAGTTCAACAATTACAGTCTCAATGCTTTTTTCTCAGTATTTGATAAAACAACTAGACCAGAAATCAGTAAAGATATAGAAAACATGAATATTACCATTGTTTAACTGACATAGTGAACATTATACAGGCATACTTTGTTTTATCATGCTTTGCAAATACTATGTTTTTACAAATTGAAGGTTTCTGAGAAAATTGGATGTAGCAAGTCATTTCATTTTATTATTTTAGCTGTTATAATGATCAGTGATCTTTAATGTTACTATTACAGTTATTTTGGAGTGCCAAGAATTGCACCATATAATACAGTGAACTTAATCATGTCAGTTATGTGCCCCAGCCATTCCCCAGTCTTTGTTCTCAGGCCTCCCTATTTCCTGAGCTACAGTAATATTAAAATTAGGCAAGTTGATAACCATACAATGACCTCTAAGTGTTAAAGTGAAAGGAAGAGGAAACACACACCTCTCACTTTAAATCAAAAGCTAAAAGTGAGGCTCGGTGCCTATAGCTCAGCGGTTAGGGTGCCAGCCGTATGGACTGGGGCTGGTGAGTTCAAACCCAGCCTGAGCCTGCTAGACAACAATGACAACAACAAAAAACTGGCATTTTGTCAGGCGCTTATAGTCCCAGCTGCTTGGGAGGCTAAGGCAAGAGAATTGCTTAAGCCCAAGCGTTTGAGGTTGCTGTGAGTTGTGGTGCCACAGCACTCTACCAAGGGCGATGTAGTGAGATTCTGTCTCAAAAAAGAAAAAAAAAAAATCGGGCAGCACCTGTGTCTCAGTGAGTAGGGTGGCAGCCCCATATACTGAGGGTAGCAGGTTCAAACCTAGCCCAAGCCAAACTGCAACAACAAAAAAAATAGCTGGGTGTTATGGCAAGTGCCTTTAGTCCCAGCTACTCAGGAGGCTGAGGCAAGAGAATTGCCTAAGTCCAAGATCTGGAGGTTGCTGTGAGCTGCAATGCTGTAGCACTCGACTGTGGGCAATAAAGTGAGACTCTGTCTATTAAAAAAATAAAAAAGTCTGGAAATGATGAAGTTTAGTGAAGAAGGTATGTCAAAAGCCAAGATGGGCCAAAAGCTAGGCTTCTTGTGTCAAACAAACATTTAACTGACTTTGTTAGTGCAAAGAAAAGTTATTGAATGAAATTCAGAGTCTTATGTCAATGAACATACAATTGATAAGAAAGCATGCAACAGTATAAAATTCACAGGTAGAAAAGATACCCAAAGGAGAAAGTAAAGAAACCTTATGACTATATAAAACCACCAAACCACAATGATAATAAGAGGGGGAAAAAGGAACAAAGTATATGAAACAGTCAGAAAACAATTAACAAAACCTTGAATATAAACAGATTAGATTTCTCAATTTAAAAATGTAGGCCCAGGTGTGGTAGCTCATGCCTATAATTCTAACACTTTCAGAGGCTGAGGCTGGTGGTTTGCTAGAGCTCTGGAGTTCAAGACTAGCCTAAGCAAGAGCAAGACCAAGACTCTGTCTCTACTAAAAATAGAAAATTAGCTGGCTATTGTGGTGAGCGCCTGTAGTCCCAGTTACTTGAGAGGATCACTTAAGCCCAATAGTTTGAAGTTGC